CTCTTGTGGTTTTATGAAATAGTAATTTGCCCATAAAGCTGTCCCTGCCAAACTTGGGAGAAGTAGCCACTACTTGTCCTCTTTAACTTGACCTCTCCCACTAAAAGATGAACTTCATGTGGGAAAGGAATTTGTTCACGGAAATATGCACCATGCCTAGAAAAATAACTATGTAGTAGGAACTTAAGAATTATTTGTTGAGGACTTAATGGATGAATTAGTTAATGAATCATGATGAAGAAAGTTGAGTATTTTGGAATGTAGATCAAGGGAATGTAACACGTGAATGATAGCAGCTCTAGGAGTAACAAGAATATATGGAGGAAAAGTAATCGTTAATCAAGTTGTAGGATATTTCTCTGAGTTGGAGAAAGCACTGAGACTGCATATTAAAAAGGCTCTCTAGCAGAGCTAGATTGATGGATAGAGAAACACCTATCAAGCTGCAAGGTGGAAAAAGACAATTTATTTGCAAAGAAAAAAATAACCAGAGTGGCACCACATTGTTTATTTGTAATGCGGATAGCTGCAAGACAGTGAAAGAGCTGCAGAGACAGTGGAAACCATCTATGAGCTGCTGAGAGAAAATACTGCCTCCCCAAATATTTTACCTGGCTGCTGTATATTGGTTGTTGAGAGAAATATTTATGTATATGCTGAGATTCAGAAAACCTATCATTTGAGTCATGTATATGAAGAAAATAAGTATTCTTACTAAATATGAAATGGACTAGAATAGGGAAAATGTGTGTTCATGTGCACACATGCATGTACATGCATGCACATGCACTCACAAAGGTAAATCTAAATTGACAATTATATAATATCTGGGTATTAAAATATAGCCCTTAAAAGAAATTAGATATCCAGTGAAGGAGACTGTGTTTAGAATCTAGAACTAAAATATGTTACTATTTAAGCAATACCTTGTAGTGAGGAGGGAAAAAACAACAACACATAGATATCAAAATTATGTATCCACATTGTGAAATAATTAAAAATTTGTTTGCAAAAAATAATAAAGAATGTGATTGATTATATATCAGGGAAAGAGAAGGTTACCATTAATGAAATGAAAATATTTGGTATCATTTCTTAATTATGAAGAGGAAAATTGCAATAAATAACTTAAACTAGGGGAAAAGAAACACTGTAAATTATTAAATATGAGAACATATTAATTATATAAAGAAAGTTACCAAATACTACATACACTGTAGTTTCCTTCATGTTAGTAAAGGTCAACAACATTTTCATCAAGTCTTATTCTTTCTGCCTCCTGAATGTCCCCTCTATTTTTTCTTCTCCATACTGCTATAGAATACATCTCATTTCTCCAGCATTGCTATCATAGTCCCTTCATTAATCTCCAAAATAGTCTTATAAAAATTTACACCCATTTTAATGCTAGGCTACTTATAAATAAATCTAGGCATGCTAGTTCAAATTTCATTTTTTTTAAACTTTTTCATAACACTTCAGGATCAGTTCCAAATGGAACCCAGATAATGCATGTTATATAATACTGAGGATGCGGGAGCAGGGGCATATGGCTGTCTGATATAAAGTTAAGCAAAACTGGAATTAAGTATGCCCATGATTTTCACTTGTGGTGTTCCCATGTGACTCAATAGGCACATGGGAACACCACAAAAAAAAAAAAAAAAAAAAAAGAAAACATGCAGTACCTAACTGTTTAGTCTGGGCCGCTGACCTCTTTTTCCTTAGATTGTCCAAATAATAATTAAAAAAATGACAACAACCAATACAATATCTGTCTGGTGTGACTGAATCAAAGTTATATTTATTTTTTTTATCAGATGAGCAAAATATATGTTTTTTGGTGTGCTGCAGAATTTAGTAATTATTTTATGAGTGCCATGAAATTAAAAAAGTTGAAAATTACTGAAGTATGTACTTAAAGATTTTAATGGGACATAGTAGAGCCCTGTTAAAGGCAATTAACTGTAAACATGACTATACACATTCATGCATATTATATTGGAATATATGTGGACCTGGAAAATATATGAGGGAAGGTGGGAAGGTAGAAAGGCAAAAAGAAGAAGGGCGGGGCAAAGGAAGGAATGAAGGGAGTGGGGGAGAAAGAAAACAAGGAAGGAAGGGAGGGAGAAAGGAAGAAAAGAAAAGAAAAAGAAAGAGGAAAGGATCTGCAAAACCTAAATCTCCATAAAGGAGAATTCGTCTGAAGGACGGGAATGAGTACCATTACCTGAATTCATCTAGTGAGCACCTGATTGTAAAGAACTACGTGTGAACCAAAAGGACCTATGTATGTAGCCCTCTGCTGTGGGACTCTTCCAAATGCACAGGTCTCCACGGTTGCAGAGCAGTTCTCCAGCTGCCTTATAGAAGAAGTCTGAGTTCCAGATGTCAGTGAAATCAGCCAAGCTATGGCCAGTGAAAGGCTGAGAAGAAGCTTGGGCTGATAGTGGAATCGTCACGAGTAGGAAAAAGGCATGGTTGGACTAGAATAAATGTGCAGATGTGAGTAGTAAAATGTGCATAATATTCTGGGCAGAGTGATAGCTGTCTCAGTAGAGCCAGCATGAAAGTTTAGTGCTGCTGCTCAGTACCTAAGAACTTGAATTAACAAAGAGATCAAGTGTAAGAAGTAGAAGCTCCAGCAACGCTAAGGTTTGGGAGATCCCATATATACTAGTCCTAGGGGTTGGCAGATAAGTGAACTGCCAACCCATAGGCAACTGCAAGCAGTTTTAAAGGTAAGCAGAAGAGCCTTAACTTCTCTTTGAATTCTGATCCAAATGTTAATCTGACAAGCTGACACTTCTCTTTCTCTCCTCTCTCCTTCAGAACTTTAGTTATACTAATTTAAGTTCCTTATAGTCTTTAGTTTAATAGCATGTTATCATTGATTCAGATAGCCCTCTTTCATTTTTTAAACTTATTTTGTCAGTTTATTTATTTTTTTAATTCCCATTCCCCATTTTCTGTTTCCTGTATTTTATTCCTAGGTTTTAGCTACTTGGTGAATTTTGGTCTATCTTACAAACTCCTTTCTCAGATCTTTATTTGTCTTTGCTGCAACTCTTCAGCATTTGTTTTGAGCTCTAGGCAGGTAAAACTGCTTGCAGTTGCCTAAAAACATCATATTTCACTGATTTCAATAGCATAGCATATGATCTACACTCTGTGTAGAAAAAAAGCACACTAAACTAGTTATATGAAGTAAATTCTTAAATATACAATAAAATCAAATTTATGAATATGGTCCCTTTTGATGTAAAGAAGGATGAACTGTTTAGATAGGAATTCGTTTCTTGTTTATAGTGTCCTTGGATTCTTTGTAGTATGGGTGGTGATAGCTTGTAACAACATATTCTTAAAAAGTATAATTTTTTGTCTTAATTCTCTAATGTTTACTTTAGAGAAACCAATTGTCATTTTTTTAGTACCCCATTTGGTTTACTAAATGTGATTTAAAGTATGTACAGGAATATTTTTCAGAAATTAGTGAGAGTGGGGGCAAAGGAAGCCAGAACACACCAGTATGTGTTTTTAACACCTGGCTGGTTGCAGCAAATGAGGTGGAGTCCAGAATTGTCCTTCTGTAGGAATGCCCGGGGCAGTCACCAGGATTTCTGCTGCTTATGGTGAATTTCAGAGACATTTCTCTCCCTGGAGCCAATGTTGTGGCTGGACAGGTTCTTTGAGATTCTTGTTATGATTGTGAATGCACAACAACCATAAGAGAACTTGGAAATGCAAAGGTTATTACTCATAGGTCCTGGAGGATAAATAGCACCTTCAAGGGCCAGGCAGCAAGGTGGCAGGTAAGAGAAAAAGAGAAAGAGAGCACAGACCTGGGATTCTGCCATTATTATGGTTGAGGGCGGTGTGCATAGGGTTTCAAAAGTTTACTTTGTATAAATTATTTCAAAACAGAAGAGCAGATTTAGGGAGTGGGAAGAGGAAAGAAATCACTCAAGTGGTCAGTTATCTAGGTTATCCAGGGCTTTCTAAAAGGGTAGAGTAGGCCTGGCTACTTACTTATTTGTGTAGCTAGTAGATGTCATATAGGCAGCCGATTTGTGTATTTGTTCAAAATGAACGTCTTTGACATGGGTGCCTCAGAAATCAAAACCTTACATTAGGCACTTACATTGCAATAAAAAAAAATCCTTTATTGTCATGCACATAAACTCCAAGAGTGCTTTATTTAAAAACAAGTGGCCTGATGCATGAAGATTTGTGCAAGAATTGACTTTCCTTCCCCTGGCTGCCAGCATCGCCTTCACTCTGGTGAGAGCCACCATTCTGCCTTTGCTCCAGCCCAGAGCTGCCTTTCTGCCTTCCCAAGCTGCCCAGAAGCCTTGGAGCCACTGGAGTAGTGAGGAATGCCTGTGTCATTGGCCCTGGCTGCTTGGTGCCTGTGCGTGCAAATTAACTGGGCATCTTTGTTGGGTTAATTTGCATACCCTCTCCTGACCATGAAAGTATGGTTAATTTTTATCTTTCTCTTTTATTAGTGCAGATTAGCCCAAATATGACCATGCTATTATTTTCCAATGTAACTCATTACACTATGTCTAAAATTCATGTGTATCATCAACTTCTGATAATAAGTCATCAGTATCTAATAGTTCTACTAAACATTAAACATCTAATTTGTCATCTTTTTCTTCATATTTCAATAATGGTCTCTTTTATTTCAACAGTTTTCTGTAATCTATATTATATTGTTAATATCTAGTTAGACCAAAATTGATTTACTCTTACATTTTCAAAGGCAATATGAAGACCATCAATAAAAATGCACTTTAATTCTTTTAAACATGTAAATTCTTTCTCTTTTGCAAAGGACACAACTATGTTCAGACAAAATTAATGAATCACAATATGTAATATATGTTGAATGCAATTTAAACAAAGCATTATTATTTTTGTCAAACTGTTCATAGACTTTAGGGAAAATATTTAATTGGCAACTTTTCTTATTTACACTGATGTATTTACAGTTGCATGCCAAGATTTACTGGAAAAAGCTGTGAGAAAGTAATTGACCACTGTAGACTGCTCCGCATTGACTGTCTGAATGAAGGATGGTGTTTCAATATAATTGGAAGATTCAGAGTAAGTAATTTAATACATGGCAAAATAATTTAGCACATCGAAACACAATAGCTTCAGGCACTTTGTATTTCAAATGCTTTTATCAATCTAAGCCAGATAAATGCATCCTTATATGGGTATTTAAATATATTATATATAGTATAGTAATAGAGATTTTTAACTTATTAGAATTATGTTGGGAGGCCTTTGATGTGTTCTAGGTAGTGATTTCATTACAAAATAAGACTATAACTAGCTTAGTACTGGTGATATACCTCTCTCTATATAAGGCCACAGTTACTAATATCTTAAGCTCTTAAATCAGATGGGAAATAAAATTAGTCTAGTAATTATTAGTCAGGATATAAAAAATAAGTGGGTTGTTTGTTTTTTTGTTGGATAGTGTTTGAAATAATTTTACAAATCTAGTATGTGTACTACACAGAGGAAGGCATATCCTATAATTCAGCAATTCTATTTTCTGTTATGTCTATTGGAAAAATTATCAGGTTTGTACTGAACGAGACATGTAGAAGATTTTTTATGCTAAGTATTCCCTTTAGTTTATACATATCAATAGTGATAGATGAAGCTATATTTAATCCTATTCTGTGTGACTCAAGAACACATGCTTTCAAGTACTTACACATATCTCTCTTCAATATAAAGCATATGCCACCATTTATTTTTCTCTAAAACTTAACTATTGTTTCCCTAATATGAAATTATCTCATTGAAATGTCCTCTTACTTTGGTTTGAAGTTATTTTATGTTATCTTGTGTATGTTTTGGTTTTTGTTTCTTGTTTTGTTTCAGGATGGTCTCTGAGTTTTTATCTCTGACATTATTTTTAACTTTTTATTCTTTTAACAGCACTTGTCCTTGTGAGATCTCAACTATTCTAGTGCCTCAACAATTATCTATGTGTATTGACTCTATCCAGTTTCAATTTATTTTTTAAAGAAATTTGACTGGACTCTATCACCTTGCATACTTTTCTTTTTTGTGAACCTACTTTAACTTTACTTACTCCCATTAGATGATATATTAGCAGGATAGGGATGCTATTAGCTTTCTCATTGGTTTAAAATTTAGGTGATGATACTATACAATATTAAATGAGTTAACATTGCAATAATTTTTCAAAAAATAATGTCTGCTCTACCCAGTCCCTCAGTGGTTAGAGCATCAGCCCAGGACTTGCAGATTTGATTCTGGTCATGGACACAGGGCGCATACCTTACAGTTACAGGTACATCCCCACTCCAATGGGGCAAGTGGGGAGGGGGTAATAAATCAATGTGACTCTTCTCACATCAACGTTTCTCTCTCTCTGTCTGTTTTTATCCCTCCTTTCCATTCTCTCTCCAATGCTCTGGAAAAATATCCTTGGATGAGGATTAACAACACCAAAAAGGCAGATGTTAATGGCAAATAAAGCAATACTCAGTCAAATGTTTTTTAAGAGAGTCTCATTTTTCATACAAAGGATACAAATATATTTGAAAGTAAAGTAACAGTAAAGATATATATCACATAACAAGTTACATAAATACTGGCATAGCTTTATAAATAATGGGGGCTTCAATATAAGGAAATATCAAAGAAGAAGAACTTGTTTCATAAACATAATTGGGTCAATTATCAAATGAAATTATACCCTTAATAGCAGAGCTTCAAAATACATATAGCACAATCTGACATCCATCCTCATAATCATGCAGGACTTTACAATTTCTAATTAACATAAAATGTCCCTTGTATATTTAAAATGACTTTATGGAAACAGTGAAGTCTATGAAGCCTGTGACCTATGTGGTCTGGGGACAAATTAATAGGCACAGCAACAGAGAATCAGGAAATCAGAGAGAATCACGGGGAAGAATGCTTTGGGAGTCACGGAGAGTCTCTGAACTAAAGTTGGAGCTAACTCAACCCCAGGGTTAATCAGAGTTTTGATAGCCATTGGGACCTGGATAATGTTTGTATTCTACAGATATGTATAACATAAACTCAAATTAAATAAATCAACAACTTGACAATTGTTTGCTAATGTAAATGAGCATAGATTAAAATGATAAGCTATTTTTAAAGTAATATGAAAAAAAAGTTTAATTGAAGTAATATGAAAAATGGAACATACTCTATAATGACTTTAAGATTAAGAGTTTATATTAAACGTGACAGGCAACATTAGAGGTTAAAAGAAAAACCCTGAAGGTTAGCACCTTATTAATTCTATGTCATGCTTTCCCTTATGAGTTAAATTTCTCTATTTTCAATTCATTTTATTTATAATGAAAGTGCCATAAGGATGCTGAACTTTCTCATTGAATTTGTGATGAGGAATTTCTAATCAACACTTTCACAATGTCAATTGCATTTTCAACATTAATAATGTAAATGGTGCCCATGATAAAACAATTGCCACTTTCCAAATGAGTCACATTTCTAATAACCACCATGTAAGAATAAATCATTGAAGAAATTAAGAACTCATGACAAAAAAAAGAATATGTTCTTACTATCATTTTTATGTTTATTAAAATTAATAAATGACAGCCACTAAAATAAAGAATATAATTAACATTATACACATAAAGTAAACAAACCGAAACTATGCATTTAAGAACTATTTACAGTGATGAAGGATTTCTTCTCCGCAGAGTTTTAATGACGTACAAATATTAATTTTCATAGATAATACATAGTAGGAGCCATGATTTCTGATTTACATCTAACCAAATATTTTATAAGTTTTTGATGTTATGACTTAGAATTATTGACTGCTTTTATTTCATAGCACCTAAGAAAATGCCATGAGAGCTTTATACACAGCCGTTTTAGTTTGCTTCTTTTACAACTGGTTGAGAGATGCAGGCATAAGAATGTAGTTTATGTTTTAGCTCTTCTTTTTAAGTCTTCATAGGGGAGTTGACTGAAAAAAAAACAACACTTGAAATCTCATTCTAGTTTAACTTTGCCATCTGTTTTAATTTCTTTCTTCTATTTCCATCCTCTAGTTAATTTTCTTTTTACAATTATTTTCAACAAGTGTGACTTATGCAAACTCACGCTGAAAGAAGTAAGCTCAAATTAGTATTCCATATGAGTGAAATTTGCATTTAGGGTAGGATTTAGAGTTTTAGAGTTTTAGTTGCAACAGAAAACAGAAACTTAAAACAGAATACCCTCTCTCTCTCCCTCTCTCTCTCTCTCTCTCTCTCTCTCTCTCTCTCTCTCTCTCTCTCTCTCTCACACACACACACACACACACACACACACACACACACACACACACCACATTATTAGAGGATGCAGGGACTGGCTTTTTCCAAAAGACTCTCTGTATTCATATTCCTTCTAGCTCACACTAAAATAGCAACAATGGCCTCTTTGGAGTTCCTAGAGAAACACAGCATGGCCCTGCTTGAAAGTCTTTGACTTGGAGATTTTGCCATCAATTTCTCATTCAGTTTAAGTATTTTCTCAAAATTTTACTTTCTCAATGTTTCCTTCTCTAGACACCTATCTAAAATATTAAAAACTCCCTTCCATCCCATATGTGTCACCTTGCTTTACATTTCTTCTTAACAACCATTGTCAACCTATTTACCAGATAATAATATGCTTATTCATGTATTTTTTAATTGCCTATGAGACTATATTAAACCAAAAGTTATGCTCTATGAAGGTAGATGTTTCTTTGTACTGGAGTAACCTTCCAGAGAAGGTAACAACATTCTAGCAATGGCAAGTTATGCCAAGTGTACATGATGGGAACCTATTTGAAGGATACTTCTATGGAGGACAAGTGCAGACTCCATAAACTGACCACTGGGCAACCTCTCTCTTAGTAATGAGGTAGTCAGAGCTAGCTTGACATGGAATCATGGAATCTGTCTTGTGTCTTGACCAGGAATTGAACGGGGTAGAGGAGTATTTGGTAAAAAGTGTAAAGAAGAGTTTTGCATAAAATACCCCTCAAAAATTATATATATATATGCTACAAAAGTTAAAACAACAAAGGAGGTCAGGTTATCTAAGTATTTTTATGAACACAGAAAAAGTTTATACACATACACAAAATAAAAATAAAAACAACGTAAAATTTACACTCTGATCTGCTACTAAAAATTTAAATTGAAGAGAAAAACTGAAATGATTTCTTATTGTTTGGCCCAAGAACTGCATTCAAAGCTGCCAACATACTTTCTGACGGTACCCTCAACCAGCTAAACACATTAATACTTCCATTCTTTCTCAGTCCTCAGAAACACTTTCTTCAGGTTTAAGGAATGGATGGGTAGTGTCATAATTTGTGCTGAGAGACTCAGGCATCTCTGGAAAAGAATGGTTGAAGTCAGGTATGAGAAGATCCCTAGCACAACCAAGTGTGACTGTGTCCCTTAGGGGATGCTTAGCAATGTCCTGAGACATTTTTGGTTGTCACAAATCAGGGCTGGTGCTGCTACTGGCACCTGATGGTTAAAAGCCTGGTGAGCTGCTAAGCATCCCTCAATGCACATGACAGTCTCCACCAGAAAGAGATGTGAGTTCCAACATATCTATTTACTGTGGTTTAGAAAACCTACCTTAGAGGAAGTATAGGTTCAGGAAGTTAGAAAATAGTAAAACTTGTGCACAGAAAGAAAAATAGACTTTGTGGAAGGTTAAAGAACCTCAAATTTAAAAAAAAAAAGAGAACTTTCTGTTTTAAACTAGTAGAAGTCCATAACATAGAATAGGTCCCAGGTTGAGAAGCCTTTGTCTGCTTTATGTGAGCCCTATAATCAGAGTTAGGTGCAAAGTAGTTGGTTAAGTCAAATCACTTTTTGGTTATTTTTTCTTCCTTTGCTGAGAAGAGATGATATACATCCAATCCAGAAAGTGGAGTATATGATGCTTCTCACAAGCTCTGTTTCTCACTCAATACTTTGCTCTGGAATACTTGCTTAGATTTAATTATTTTGTATGTTTCCTCCTTATTTATATTATTGGATATTTAGATAAAAAAGT